CAAGCTCACCTCCCGTCTGTGATGAGTGTGGGGCCGCCCCGCCCGCTGAGTGTTTTGAATTGGATAATTCACAGGAAAACTTTTCATGAGGTGGCTGAACTCTGCATTCGCCACAATGAAGGGAAAGGCTAGCAACTAGAATATGAAACATTCTGTACCTGGGACACAAGATACTCGCTTTCCTTTGGTGAGTGGAAATACTTCCAGCAAAGATCCTGGTCTTCTAAATGTGGTGACACAGGTTCAATATTTTTCACTTTCTGTGGGAAATGTCAGCACAGAAGAGTTTCATATCTGTGGGTAGTATATATGTATATTTATGTGGTTGGACCTAGGCAACAGAATTGATGTGCAGAGGTGAAGTTTTTGTGGCTACGTTTTTTCTTTAAAGAGGCACCTTTCACTTGCTTGGGGGCAAAAAATGAAGCTTGTGTGTGTGTGTCTGTGAGAGAGAGAGAGAGGGAGGGTGCAGAGTGAAAAAGAAAATGCGAGATATAATTTAAATAATGGATTACAAGGCAAATGTGTGTGTGATATCTGGTAGACTTTATGAAGCCTGGCCTGTCATTTGTTTGGGCATCACCTGATACCTCCAGCTCTGCTCAGTTAAAGTTTTGCCAAGTCAAGCTCTCAAATGAGTCATCGCATACACAGCCCTTCACGGTTTATCGCTTAGACTTTCTCAGATCTTACCCAAGCCCTGATTTCTTTCATGTTCTCTCCAACGTCTCAGCCTGTCTCCACCCCCAAAAGCCACAGCCCTGGCCAGAGACGTTAGAGCCGGATTTTAGAGTCCAAAGAGGTCACCTCAGCTGTCCCAGGGGCCTGAGTCCCGTGGATTTCAGAGCAGCAGGTAAAAGGTCAAGGCTGGACCTCACAGCATAAGGGTTAAACAGATGTTCACACACTCAGACTCACACATAGAGCTGCCCACACTTCTGGCATCCTCACAGAACCACACACACACACAGAGAACTCAATCTCAGGAACCAGATATTCAGAATCAGGCTCCACTGATGCTGTCTGAGTCATCTAATGTTCCAAATGTTCAAAAATAAAAAGAAATATATAAATGGGACTTTCCTGGTGGTCCAGCAGTTAACACTCCTTGCTTCCACTGCAGAGGGCACGGGTTCAATTCCTGGACTGGGAACTAAGATCCCACATGCCATGGATAAATAAACAAATAGAATGTTCTACAGTTGGGAACATGCCTTCATGTCCAGGAAAGAAACAAGGGTGGCTTCATTCCCATCTTCAATTCACACCATTTGAACTGCCGTTAGAGTGGGAGTTGGGCCAGGGGATAGGCACACAAAAATGAGCAAAGCTGAGGGAATCCCTACCTTCTGTGTCTGACCGAGGAAACACAGAAAGTCAAAGGGGACAATCAAAACAGGGGGGAAGAAACCCATAATCATAAATTGTAATAAAGATGTCCACTTCTGGAAAGATGGCAGACTAGATGGGGATGAAATACACACTCCTACTATCTCAATAATTCTGGATAAAAGAACATTTGAGAAATTTAAAAAAAAAAAAGGTATAGCTGCACAAGAAGATAAGGAAACTTCTTCTCAGGATGCAAAATAGCCATGAAATGGAAACTAGGAAAGAGTCATGGAGGAGGGTGTGAGCCAGGCGAGAAACATTTCACGGAGATTCCAGAAGGCGATGACAGAGTATATTCAGGAAAGGTGACACTGAAGAGGTATTTTATATATGAATATACATAATGTATGTATGATTGGCCAACAGATAATGCGCCATCTCTATGACTCGTCCCCAGGACTGGACCCGCCCAATCTCCCCAGACTCCTCAAGGCTCAGCCTTCCCATATCCATACCTAGGGAAGCGCCCTAAGCCCATAAGCTCCCAGAAGATGGGGCCAGGCCTGTGGGCTTCACCAGGGCACTCTGGAGTGAGCCCAGGACCTGGCATGATGTAGCCCTCAATTGATACATGTCTGATGAATGCATTTTTCTGCTGCCCTCAAAGCCTAGCACAGATTATTTCCTCTTCGCTCCCACTCCACAGAAGGTGGAGACCATGTTTGCCTTGTTTGAAGCTGGGACCCTTAGTCCCAAACCTGGGGCCTGGTCCATAATATTTGCTCAAGAAATATGTGTTAGGTTAAAGCAGAATACATTCCATTGCAGGATCACATTTAAAAAGTATTAGCCTGCATTTTCCCCTGAAACTTCCTATCCTCCTTTGCTCTTTCCTTTTGAGACAGCCAGGTATTTCTGTGCCCAAGCTTCGGGAAAAGACTTGACAGCTGAAAGCAAGAAAATCATGTCCCTTGCCTAGATTTGCAGATTCAAAAGCTCAGGCCTGAGAGGACCAGAAAGAACACACAGAAAGGGCAAAAAAATTGGAGGAAATCATGAGGCATCCATGCTGTCCAGGTTGGAAAATCATTTTCTGAACCATCAGAAGGAAAGGAGTTGAAAGGAAAGAATAAGTTTGCAGTTGGTGGAGGGTACCAAAGAAAGTGGTTGTGTCTGTGCTGGAGGCCACTGCAAGCTCACAGAGCACCCTTATGTGAACGAGAACGAGACATCCTTTCCCAGTGCACAGTTTAGCAACTAGAGCACAGACTGGGTCCAGCTTTATTAGTCCCCTGGCCAGGCACTCATGTGCAGTGTACACCGCGTACAACTGTACCGGACAGCCAGGCATAAGCCCTGCTAATCCCTGCAGAAGGTAAGAAAGCTCAGGCCTGTGGGGTCTGAACAGAGGAAACTTCTGCTTCATACCCCAGGTGAAGAACACCTGGGGTGGGTGTGGGGGGACCCTGGAAAGAAGTGGCACCACACAAAGGGAGCCTTGGGCGGCCTCAGAATTTCCTTAAGTGCCTGATGGGGACAATAACTCAAGACCAGGTGGAGTGAAGCACCCCTGAGGATACTACTGGGGACCAATGACAGTAGTGACCAGATCGCCACCTCCCTGCCCATATACACCACAGCCCGACACATGTAAGCTTCTTGGAATTAATTAGTCAAAACCCCAGGGACATTGGGTTGCGGGGAGTGGAAAAGGGGGGTTTCTTAAAGAGATTGTGGTTAAGTATTTGCCATCCAGCCACACTGAGGATTCCAAACAAAAATTTGAGTTGTAGAAAAAAAAGAAGTTGCCTTTTTTGTACATCAAAGGTATAACCTGAGCTTTTCTTACCTGCTGAACTCCACAAATATTTGTTATGTGAATACTGAAGGTGTGTGACAAATACCTGGTACTTCTCTGCGACCCTGAATTTTATTCAGCCCTGATTTTATCATCAGAACACACGTGTCTCCCTGACTAGATGGTCAATTGCTTGAGGGCAGAGACCAAATTATTCCTTTATAAATCCCGCATACATATCCTACACAGAAGTATTCTTCGCTTGGGCCATCAGTGGAGTTACTAGATAAATGCTTAGAATTTTTCTCCAGGCTCCAAGATTCCCCTTCCACTGTTTTCCCCTCCACTCGTCTCTCAACATATCAGACTGCGTAAGAATTCCCAAAGCCTGAGGCGGAGCAAGAGGACTTTGACTCTGCCCTCTGCTGCTGCAACGGGGCAGGATGAATGAGCCCATTAGGATTTGAGACATGTCTATTTCTGAAGATGGGCTCTGGTCGGTTCAGTGGCTGTGAAACCTGGCATAGTCTGAGATTTGGGGCAGGGAGTTTGGGCTCATCACAGGGGTCTGATTACTCGAGGGCAGGGGTCACCAGGTTGCCTGTCCTGGGAGCCCCTGGAGATGTATGGGGCGGAGGACTCAGGGCTTCCCACAGATGGCGCCCTGAGTCTTGAATGCTCTTCAAGCCCCTCTCAGCTTGGGTTCCTGCGTTGATCCAGGCCCCTTTCTGCAGCCTGCTCCAGCCTGCTACCTGGCTGCTGCGGCCACAGGCCAAAGTTTTATTCTAGTTCCCTGCAGCGAAACACACATTCCACCCACGCGCTTGCTCAGCCTTTGTAGACACGGACTGTCTCTAGGCCTGTGCTGGTAAGTTGTTCTCCACGCTTCTGCCCTTTCTCTGTGGCCAGAAGGTCAGCCCTGCCACCGGCTGGCCGCCTAGCTGTCTCTTCAGCCGAAGTCCCTGCCAGCTTCCAGGCTGCACTTTAAACTGAGTTCTGCCACTTACTAGTGTCCTTGAGCATATTTCCTAAGTTGTGGTAACCATGATGACCATCTTCCCCTGAGTCTGCATCTTCCCTGGGCCCCCACTGCTCTAGGGCAGCGGTCCCCAGGGATCCATCTCATGGGAGACGACTTCCATGGACGGACATGAAGGGTGGAGGAGGGGGATGGGGGGATGGTTTCAGGATGACTCAAGTGCATTGCTTTTATTGTTCATTTTATTTCTATTGTTATTACATCAGCTCCACCTCAGATCATCAGTTATTAGATCCCAGATGTTAGGGACTCCTGCTCCAACGGATGAAAAACACCAGACAGAGACTGTGACGTGAGAAATCTTTTATTAAACCAGGTGTCACTCCCCCACCTGAGAAGGAACACTTATGTTGCAGACACCAAGCCTTCACACCTCGCTAGGGCTGGGTGTAGCTGTCCTACCCGGCCCACACCTCCTTCTCAGGGCAAGCCGACACTCAGCTGTCTTCAAGGGGCTAGGTGATGGGGTCAGAGAATTAGGCTGGAGTTTAGGTTGACAGCTTGGATTGGGGATTTAAGGTGAGGGTAAAGGTGTGGGTCAGTTTAGAGGTTGGTAGGAATTGGGTTGGCATTAAGGTGAAAGGAAAGTTGAGTTACCCAAACTCACCCAGCCACAGTCAAGCTTCTCCTGGGTTCCCAAGTTGATGACCCTCCACTGAAAGCCCGGTCCCCAGGCCCCTCCCAAGGCTCCCCCAACCCCAACCCACCCACCTCTTCCACCCACCTCTCCTAAATGAAGCACACACTCAAAAGCAAACCCTATAACTACTTGGGATTCAGTCCCTGCCCCCGCTGCCCAGGTGGGTGGGGTGAGGGGCACAGGGGTGGGGCTTAGCCTTGGAAGCCCAGCACCTTGTACTGGGCAGCCATGTCATTCCGGAACAGTTCCAGGGCCTTGCTCATGGCGCCCTGGGCGTCAGCACCGAAGTCTGAAGGATGCTTGGCATGTAGAACATGGATGATGGCGTCCGAGATGAACTGCAGGGACAGGAGCAGAGGGGTGCTGGTCACTGGCAGGACAAGCCAGGGGCCAGATGGGAATCAACCCCAGCCCCAGCTTTGCTTTATTGCAGGGCCATTTACTGAGCACTTATTATATATCAGGTGCACTTAGTATGTATCAGGCACACTTCTGAGTGGCCTCCATGGATTAACTCCTTTAACCCCCACAACCCATGAGACAAGTACAGATGGGATAATAAAGGCCCATCTTAATACAGAGGAGGAAAGATCAGGCCTTGGGCTTGTGGTCACAGTCACATGGCTTGGTGGGTTGGCTACCCTCGTCCCCAACCAGGGGCTTCCCAGGTGGCTCAGAGTAAAGAATCCACCTGCAATGCTGGAGATGCAGGAGACATGGGTTCAATCACTGGGTTGGGAAAATCCCCTGGAGGAGAGCATGGCAGCCCACTCCAGGATTCTTGCTTGGAGAATCCCGAGGACAGAGGTGGGCTACAGTCCCTAGGGTCACAGAATTGGACATGACTGAAGCAACTTAGCATGCACACATGCTACCCTCCTCTACTATGTTCAGGATGTTTTATTGTTCAGTTGCTCAGTCCTGTCAGACTCTGCAACACCATGGACAGCAGCATGCAAGGCTTCCCTGTCCTTCACTATCTCCCTGCATGTGCTCAAACTCATGTCCATTGAGTCAATGATGCCATTCAACCATCTCATCCTCTGTTGCCCCCTTCTCCTGCCCTCAATCTTTCCCAGCATCAGGATCTTTTCCCATGAGTTGGCTCTCCACATCAGATAGCCAAGGTATTGGAGGTTCAGCTCAGGATGAGGACCCAACCTATTACATGGTTTTAATCCAGGATTTTGCAATCAGAAAGTCTAGAAACTACTTCCATGTGTGTGAATTTAATTTTTGCATTTAATGGCTTAGGATGGTGATCTCTTTCAGTAGCCTTTTGGAGGGATGGTGGGGGAAGGGTGGTCAGAACATCTTATTTTCTGTGCCAAGCACGGAGCTGGTACTCAGAAGCATTGGTGGAAGGGAAGGAGAGAAAGGAAGAGGAAAGGGACCAGGCCTATGCTCGGGCCCAAGACGGATAATATGTTACAGCGGCCTCACCATCACTGTTGGCCCTACCATCCACATTGTCATGCCCAGAAAGATGGGCACAAACATCTTCACAGCACAGGGCTGCTTCAAGGGACTGAGCAACCTTATATAGTAAGAAGCTACTTGCTTTTTCAACGGTTCAGAAAGATTTGATGCCAATTTCAGCCGTGGCCTGTGGACAACGGGTGTCATTTTACAAAGGCCCAGACTGAGGTCATGTTGCAAGTGGATGGGAGAGCTGGAATCTGCACCCAGGGGACTGTGGACAAACAACAGCCAGAGCCAGGGAGACAGAGGCCAGCACTGGTGGGTTTGTTCATATTCTCTGGCATCCGGGGTACAAGTGGCCAAAAGCTGATGCGTGGGGGTGAGGGGAGCACGTGCTGGGGCAGCCTCAGAAGCACAAATGTCAACACCCAGTAAACTCTGCTTGGCTCAGAAGCCGGGACAGTGCCACAAACACCTACTGCTGGCCATCGAATGAGACATGTGCTTAATTCCCTTTTAATGTCATAAACGTAACAAAGCCGAGTCAGGGGATGAGCTGACCTAGCGAGAACTTGGAGACCCAGGTTCCAGGCCCAGTTCCACCCTGACCTCCACAGATGGCCTCACGTGTAAGACAGGGATCCTGACCCCATTGGGTCCCTCAATTCAGCCTTTCCTGAGTAAACTTCTGAGTCACTAATAAAAAATTGTGGGCTGGGGCAGCTAGAAGACTGAGAAAGGACTTTAACATCCAGCACCCTCTGGAGCCCCCTTGCTCACAGGTGAGAAAGAGCAATTTCTCGTGAAGAACATAGACAAAGACTCCACAGTGAGGGGAACAGCAGACACGGGGCGCTGTCTTAATTTTTTGCAGTAGCTCAGATGGTAAAGCGTCTGTCTACAATGCGGGAGACCTGGGTTTGATCCCTGGGTCAGGAAGATCCTCTGGAGAAGGAAACGGCAACCCACTCCAGTACTCTTGCCTGGAAAATTCCATGGATGGAGAAGCCTGATAGGTACAATCCATGGGGTCTCAAAAAACTGGACACAACCGAGGGACTTCACTTCCACTTTCTTTTCAAACTTGTTTTAAGTAGACCAGGTTCTAGTCTGCTAGCTGGTAGTCCTATTCCTAGACCGCATTTGTTTCTCTCTAAGCCTGTCTGCTCATCCCCAGAGACGGGATCCATCATTCAAGCTGGATTGTGAGCCCCCCGCCTGTCACTGGGGTTCAGATGTGGAAGAAGCCAGGGTCTGACCTTGAAGAGCTCCTGTCCCAGCCAGGAGACAGCTGGGTAAAGAAATAAATTACAATACAGCCGGCAGGCGCCACGGCAGGGCTGGAATAAATGCCTTTGCCAGGGAGAGCTGACAGGTGGAGCAGCTGACTGCCTCATGGGCCAGAACTGAAGAGGTGGCTTCTGAGCTGGGCCTTGGAGAATGAACAGGGATTTGCTGAGAGAAGATGGGGAGGTGAAACCACCACCTGTGCAGAATCCCAGGGGCAGGAACTGTTCCTCATGCCTGTGATGCTGAGATGGGCAGACAGAATTGTTTGTGTGTGATGTGGGAGAGCAGATGAGGCTTCCCTGGTGGCTCAGAGGGTAAACAATCTGCTTACAATGCAGGAGACCTGGGTTCAAGATCCCCTGGAGGAGGGCATGGCAACCCACTCCAGTATTCTTGCCTGGAGAATTCCATAGACAGAGGAGGCTGGACTGACAGGCTACAGTCCAGAGGGTCACAAAGAGTCAAACACGACTGAGCAGCTAACAGTTTCATAGTAACAGGAGAGCAGTTAGGGGAGCTGGATGGTGAGGCTGAAGATGATGGTGATAGTAGTTGTTCATGGGAGATGTTATACCATCAGGAATTAAGAGCATGAATTGCAGAGTACCATAGATCAGACTGTACCTCCTGGCTTATAAGCTGTGTGACCAGGGCAAGCTACTCAACCTCTCTGAGCCTTCAGTTTCCACATCAGTAAAATGGGGATGAGAAGAGTACCTGCCTGGGGAAGAGAATGCTATTTACCTGCCCAATGGCCATTTTCACCTTCTTCCTTGTAAGAGAACACTAATTTGTGTTTGGAATGGCAGTAGACTACATTTCCCAGCTTTCCACACAGATAGACATGATCTCATGACTAACTTCTGGACAATGAGATGTAAGTAACATTGTTGGGTGAGATGCCTGGGGTTTCTCAAAAGAGAGCCTTTGTCTCTTCCTCCTGCTCTCTGTTTGGAATATGGACCAGAAGGCTGGAGCTCCAGCAGCTATCTTGGACCACGAGTCAACTTTGAGGGTAGACACCATATGTATGCCAAGGATGGCAACACAGAAAGAGCCTGCATCCCTGGTACCCATGGGGCTCCCACACCAGCTCTGGGCTCCTGACCTCTGGACTTCTTTTGTGACAGAAAAAGACAACACTGAATGCAGTTTCTAAGTTCATGGGGGTAATCGTGAAAGTTCCATGCAGTGACCCAGGCAAACTGCTTCTCATAGCCCATCCTAACCAGAAGTTATCATGACGAACCTTACCTTCACTGCTGTACCAAACTGCCTGCGGCCCTCATCCTCAGGGGTGATAGCCACAGGGCCCTTTATCCCCTAGTTCCTGAGTTTTCCTTCTTGCTACATCCCTCCTCCCACTGGGTCTAGACACAGGACTAGAAACTCAGACTCTCCCCCGCCCACCCAAATTCTCAGTCTATCACAGGAGATTCAAGCCAATTGCTTCTGCCTCGGACACCTGAGGCGCCCTCTCTTCATCCGTAAAGATGCTAGAACTAATAATTCCCACCCAGAATTAAGCCCCAGCTACTGAACTGCTGCCTCATGAGTCCTGTATATGTCTGACATGCAGTGGCAGAGAGACTAGGAGCTGGGTTTCTGGAGGAATAGAGACCTAGTCTGAATCCTGGTTCTGCTCTGTGGTGCCTCTGTGACCAGGGGCAAGCTACTTAACCTCTCTGTGCCTCAGTTTCCTCATCTGCCAAGCGGGTGTGATAATGGTGCATACCCGTGGGCAGAATGCAAGCTGTGTACTTCACAGCTACTTCTCCCTCGGTAACAAGATACTCATTTGGGGGAAAAATATGTTTACTCTCAATGACCCAGGAGGAAGGACAAGTAGGGAGCAGCCCACTTTACAGGTGAGAAAACTGGGGGGATAAAGAGCAATAACATAGGTCACCCAGCAAGTTATTACTGAGCTGGGACTTGAACCCAAATCTCATGTCTTCGAGGCCGCCCCTTCCATCCTCCCAGCCACCCGGGTCCCGCCACTCACCTCCAGATACTTGACTGGGATCTTGTGCTTGTTGGCATGTGACTCGGCCAGGTGCTTCACCTCCGCCTCGTGGTGACCCTTCTTCTTCAGGATGCCCCCCAGGGCCGTGAGCACGGTGTTACCATGCTTCTTCAGGTCCTCGGAGGCCTTCATCTCAGCCTCTGTCTTCAGGTGCTTGAACTTGTCAAATTTCTCCAGGGTCTCGGGATGACCTGTGAAGAGCCTGGGTTGGGGTGGGGGGGTACAAGGAGGGCTTGAGTTAGACCCAGGGGTCAGGAGGTGGCCAGACTCAAGTTCAAGTCCACACCCTCCCAGTTGCTAGCTGTGTGACTTTGGGCAATTCACTTCACCTCTCTGTGCCTCAGTCTCCCCATCCAAGGAAGAGGGATAACGAGTCCTCCCTATAGAAGTGTGAGGATTAAATTGAAAGAGATGGTATACGCTGAGGACCACACAGGAAGTGTCCTATAAATGCTTGCTATTACTATTTTTAGCATCATCATCTGCTTCATTGTTACTGTGAAAGCCTGGAAGGAAAAACATCTGCATGGTACCTGGCCTCACCCCCATTTGCTCTAAGTTGTGGGGAGCAGAGATGCCTAGATGGTGTCACAGTGGAGCAGGGAGGAGCACGGAGGCTAAAGGATTTGTGGAGCATGTGCTGTGTGCCAGGCCCGTGCTAGGCTCTGCACTTGCACTTCCCTTTGGGGGTGTATTATCCCCATTTTACAGATGAGGGAACAGAGGCTAAGGAGCATGAGGTCCTAGCTCAATATCACATAGCCGGGGTGCAGACGAGCCAAAGTGAAATCAGGTCTGAGTGACTCAAAATATAGTCCAGGCAGGGGACCATCTCTGCAGCTTCCTACTCGAGGATCATCCTTTGGCCACTCAAATACTCCTGGCTCTAGGAGGCTCACTATTCCCTGTGACAGCTTTTCTAGTCTGAACAGCTCTCAGGCTCAGAAAGCTCTTGCTTATTTTTGCTCTGCCTCCCCGTTCTTCCCAGGCCCCTCACAGTACTGATGGCGAGAATCTCTGGTGGGAGCCATCTGCCAAAGACCAGGTCCCCACTCCTGCCAGGGACCCAGTGAGCTGGCCACAGTGATCGGAAGAGTCACCTGTTGCCTTGGACTTCAGTCTTTCATTCTACAGAAAGGTGGGGATCGGTTAAAGGGAGTCGTACCTGCCACGGGGAGGATGGAGAGATTTTCCCCATTTACTCATGGGCAAAGGGAGGACTGCAGAGGTAGGTGACTTGTCCAGGGTCACATGTCTGGTCAGTAGCAGAGCCCAGACACGAACCCACACAGATGGTTCCATAATTCATGCTCTCTCTTTTGTGTTACACCCAGAAACCTCTGCCAGAGTGACCCTATCTGCTGGGCTTTTCCTCCTCTTGTCTGATGGCTTCAGATCCTTGAAAGCTTCCTCTTTTGTGGTTTCCTGGCTCTGGAACACCCTTAAACCTAACTGTGGACACACTCCAGTGTGCACAAGTATCTAACGCACATACCTATAATCACACTCATGCTCACGCACACACACACACACAAACAGGGCATAGCCACAGACAGGGAGCGCCCCCTTCCCCCAGGGGTGCGTCCCTCCTGCTTTCCCAGAGCACCCAGCACTGCCCACAGCCATGCTCAATGTCACTACCTCATCTGGGGCCCCGGCCAAGCCTTCTACATCACTGACAGCTCATCTCCAGCACCTTTCACCCCAGGGTCCCTGAGCTCCTGACTATTATTATCTGGCGACAATGATCCTTGAACTCCTGCCTGACAGATGCAAGACCCAGAACCCACAGGTGAAGGTCGGGACACTGGAGGGAGACTCTCTGGGGAAGAAGAGGACCGAGGACCTGGGACCCAAGGCCGCCAGAGATCTGAGACATCTTGGGAGCCCCCCGGATGTCTGGGGAAGAGTTTAAGCACTGAGAATTATGAAAGCTGAGTTCTGGCCCCAGTTCTGCCTCTGCTGTGCTCTGTGATGTTGAAAAATCACTCAGCTCCTCTGGGTCTTGGATCAACTATCTGTAAACCAAAAGGTTGATTTCTCAGCTTCCAAGTTCTAAGGCTTGACCCCTCCAACCCGGACCTCACCCTACACTCTTAGCACTTGTCAGCCAGAGAGGGAGCCCCGGATTTACTTTAACAGTGCAGAAAAACCTGGCTCCTGAATGCCCAAGGCCAGCAACTGGGAGTCCCTGGGAAGCCACAGAAGGCCCTACCTGGGTACTTGTGACAGTGGCAGCTCAGAAAATGAGCAGATGGAAGGCCCTCACCCTGTAGAAATGGTGGGTGGGTGGGGCTTTTCCTCCAGTGTTTCAGAAGCACGCACTTGCCTTGTGCTTTCATCTTCAATCCTATCGTCAACCTGCCTAGTTTATTACAGGTCAGTGGGAAAGGAGGCCAGTTCCCAGCTGTGCTCTGAGCTGAGACCCAACCAGACACCCACATGAAAGATGGAAGATGCTCCCAGGCCTGCATAAATTCTTCTTTGCTCTAGAACCGAAGAACCAGATGAGGATGGGAACTCTTCTCTAGTGTGCTAAGACCTTGGGATGATATGGCATAGGGTTCAAGAGTGGGTGTGCTGATCCAGGCTGCTGGCTTTGAACTCCAGCTCTGGGACTTCAGGCAAGCCACTTAACCTCTCTGTTAAATGTGGGGACCATAATAACGTCTACTTCATGAGGTTATTATGAGGCTGAAATGAGTTACATGAAACACTTAACACAGGGCCTAGCAATCAGTGTCTAATATATATACATGTTTGCTGTCCTCATCAAAATCTCTAAGACATTATCACCATCACCATCATCACCAGCTCCATCATCACCATCATCTCCTCCATCATCATCTGCATCATCCTCACCATCTCCACTATCATCATCCTCACCACCATCATCGTCATCACTAGGACTGGGAATCTTGGGTTCTGTCTGTAGCTGCCATTGGTTGACTGGGACTCTTGAACCAAGTTTCTTCCCGGTGACATGAGACATACTGGCCACCAGCAGTGACTTCCCAATTTTTCATGGCCTTGAAATCCTTTGTTCAAATGCAAAAACAAATAAAACAGAAAAGGTCTGGGGAAAAGAAGGAAAGGCAGGGGCCCAAAGTCCTCTTCAGCTGCCTCCGCCCTCCTAAAAACCCCCGCTTCCTGGAGCCAGACTCTGCAACTGACCTTCCAGCTATTATGTTCTAGGACATGATGATCATGTACTTGCAGTGAAGCCCTCAGCGTTTTATTAACCGACTGAATAGAATTTGCTCTCTGTCATAACCAGAGGATTGGGAGAAATGACCTTTTCAAGAAGAGTAAGAAAGCCCAGGTTAGGCATCTGGAACAGAATCACAAAGTCATTTCTCACAGGGAACCCTGGGAGTCAGCATCCCCTTCTCCCTGTCCTTGGCCCCCAAACACCAAGAGGGCAGAAGCTGTCAGCATGGTTTCTGCATGTCTTCAGCTTAAGACGTGATGGGGCATCAGGCTCTCTGGGGCCTGCCAGGGGTCAGCAGTCTCCAGCATCACATCTTGCCTCTGGCTCCTGGCCCCTGGCAGTTTTCTCTGATCCTCCCTGGGAAGGGAGGAGCTGTTTCTCCCATGATACAATACCCCCAAGTCTCCTTCCAGACCTCCAAGTCACTGACTTAGGACTGACAGCCCCCAGGTCATCTGGGACAGACTTCTGTTTGGCAAACTGGTCTCCCACCCAGCAACCCTGCCTCCTCTCCAAAAGCAAGGCAGGATCAAGGACTCAAAGAATGCCAAGGCATGAGGGTGGGCAGGGATCTCAGAGACCATGAAAGGCAATCCCTCTACTCAACAAATAGGGAATGGGGCCCAGAGAGGATTAGTGACTTGTCCAAGGTCACACAGCCAAGGGAGAGCTGAGGAGTTGATGTCTACTTTGGTGAGTCTTCTGTCCAATCAAATGGGACCTGTTGCAGTGCCAGTAGCCAACTGACAGAGATGTAAGAGGAAAAAGACACAAAGGAAAACCCCAAGATGCCAGTTAGATTCAACAGGGAACTTGACCATCCTTTCTCATGTGTTTTTGGCTTGGGCCACTAAGGACTGAAACTCCAGATAATAGAGCTTATAGCTTATGTCTGGGTCATTCTCCCAGACATGGGAGCTGGAAATGGGTGAAGCCTGAGGGAGGCTGAAAGGGTGTCTAAATGGGAGCGGAAAACCTGCTCTGACTCGTAAAGAAGGAGAAATTCATCTATAAGGTGTGAACGACAATCCATTCACTCATGGCAACCAGGGCCCACCTCCTCCCAGGTGCAGAAATGTCGATGTAAGCTCTGACTCCTGCTGCCCAGAGCATGAGAAAGGGCCAGGAGGACAGGGGAGTCTATCACCACTTGGGGAGGAAGGCAATGGAACATGAGGTTCTATTTCTGAACCACAAGCCATCCTCTGCTTACAAAACTCGGAATTTTGTGGCGGGGGGCGGGGGGTTGTTTGTTTATTCAGGAGTCCCTTGCTAAAGAAGGCAAGATGTGCTTGGAGATTATTCTGAGCTTTCAAAAGGCATACCCAACATCAAAAATCAAGAATAGGGACTTCTGTGGTAGCGCAATGGATAAGAATCTGCCGGCCAATGCAGGAGACATGGGTTGGATCCCTGGCCTGGGAAGATTCCATATACCACGGATCAACGAAACCCATGCACCACAAGTAGTGAGCCCGTGCTCTAGACCTAAAGCCGCAACTACAGCACCTGCATTCCTGCACCCAGAGCCTATGTTCCCCAACAGGGGAGACCATTGCAATGAGAAGCCCATACATGGCAATGAAGAGTAGCCCCTGCTCACCACAACTAGAGAAAGCAACAAAGACACAACACAGCTAAAATAAGAATAATAATTACTATTATTATTATTATTATACTTTAAAGGGCCCAATCCTAAGCTTCATCTCTAAGAGTTACTGACACCTTTTGGAACTCACTCTATGCCAGGAATTACGCTGGGCCCCTTAGATGCAGCATCTTATTTAATTCTTACTTCTACTGTATAATGTAGACATTAGGATTTCCCCCCATTTTATAGGAGAAGAAGCTGAGGCTCAGAGAAGTTGTGTGCTTTCCCAAAGGTCACACAACAGCTCAGTGGCAGAGCCAGGTGTAGAACTACATATCTCATCCTGAAGGCCGTGTCTTAATCCTTGACATTTTACAGACTTTAATGAACTTGTGACTCTGGGGTCATCCTTCCGTTCTTAGGTCCTTTGTGCCCTCATCCATTAGGTGAGGTGAGAAAGACCTCTCAGACCTTTCTTGTTAATTCTAGCTATAATTTTAGGATTCCTCCTGGTGGGCTCTAAGCATCAAGGATTTGATCATCAAAGCTCCTCCCAGCTGCTAGCACAGGTGTGAAATGGATTTGCTTTCCTGATTCCAACCTCTGATACATAAAAGCAAAGGAGAACCAAATGGGGGGTTTAACAAAGTTAATTAACACAGCAGCCAACTGGTCAACCCCGGGGCAAACGTTCCACCTTGCAGGCAAACATTCTTGACCTTGAGGAAGGAGGTGACGGGGGCAGTGGGATCTCTTCCTTTTACCTGATGAGGACCTCCTGCCCATGGCCTGCGACATCAGCCTCCACCTTCCCCCAGGCATTCAGCACCAGCTGCCATTCCCCGTCGCTGAGCCCCATGGCGCAGTCTGAAGAAGAGAAAAAGAACAAGGGCGGACTGACTGGGTGTCCTGTCTCCGACAGCTGGGGTTTGAGGCTGCCTGGCCCCAAAGTGATTTTATACCTTCCCAAATGCTTGACAGGGATCACTTGACAGCTCGTTCACTCTCTCTCTCCACCCCCCACCACCCCCCTGTCTCATGTAGGGGTCTAATCTTTTCCTTTCTCTAGCCCTCACATGGAAGCTATTTTGAGGTAGGTGCCATTGTGGGGAGGTAGGCCAACTCAGGTCACGGGTGTGGTGGTGGTGGGGTTGTGTTTGCGGAAAGAGTGGGGAGGAGGTTGGGCCACTGTCTGGACTCTCAGAGGCCAACAGAAAGGGCACGGCTAAGGCTGATGCCAGTGGCCTGAAACCCAACTCCCCCTGCTGTCAGCCATCCCGAGAGGAGACCCATCATGTTTGTAAGCCAGGGCAGCAGGCACCCTGGCTTGGCCCTGGGACTCTCCTGGCCTTAGCGGTTTCTTTGCCCATCTTCTAGAAGCCCACTTTGCCAGAATGCCTCTCACTCTTCAGAGTGATGGGAAGGAACCTCGATGGTTTCCTGCTTATAACTGGGTGAACCCAGACACATCCATAGCCTCTTGGAGCCTGCATTTTCCCACTCCATCCAGAAAGCTCAAATATTGCTCAGATATTTCCCCTGCCCTTTCCATTTATTCATATGTGTTCCTGTCACACTGCTTACCTCATTGCATCATATTTCTTTGTATCCATGCTGGCTCCTCCATTAGTACCCTAGCACCCAATACTCACAGACTTTGCCAGGTGCCAGGCTCTATTCTAATCACTTTACACGTGGTAACTCATTTAGTCTCCCAACAGCCCTATATGATAAATATGTACATTACCCCCTTCTCATGGAGGGGAAGTTAAGGAGATGTGCCATGGTCACACAGATAGTTGATGGAAGAGTTGGGTTTTGAACCAGGAAGTCAGGCCCCTGAATCCATGCTCCCAAACACTTTACTTTGGTTATCATGTGCAGGAGCTTTGTTTCCTTCATCTGTGTGTTTCTTGGGCCTTGCACAGTGCTGTATACCAAGTTGAGCGGAATAAATGTTCACTGAATTAAAAAGGTGGATGGCCTTCCCAGGAAGGCAAGAGAATGATCAACCTTTATTTTTCATTAATCCATCTTCCCATCCATCCATCATCCATTCATCCACCCATCAACCCCTCTATCCACTCACCCTCCGTCCATCCATCTGTCCATCATCCATCCATCCATCTATCCACCATTCCGCCATCCATCCAACAAACAGTTATAAGGTACCTACTGTGTGTCAGAAACTGCTACATGCTGAGGACACAAACCAGATAAAACACACCCTGGTGTTCAATGTCCTAGGGGAGAGAGATAAGTAAGAGGAATAACATTACAGTTCAGTTTACATAGCTTTGTGATCGGGGTCTACACAGAACTTTGCAGTTTACAAAGTGCCTCCTTGGGCAGGATTAATCTAGTCTTCCCAATGCCCCGGCAAGTTAGAAAGCATCATCCCATTTTATATTGGTGGACCATGAGACTCAGCAAAGATAAACATCAGGTGTCCTGGCAACCCTGGGACTGTATTAGACCTGTCAGTTGTGACTGCCCTACATACACAGCGCTTTCTAAAGATAACTGCCTTGCCCCAGTCCCCGAGGTCATGTCCTCTCCCAAATCCCGCGGCTAGTCACAGCTGATTGAACCAAGGCTGGGACCTAATTAGAGGCAGCCAATGGCGTGGCTCTGTCAAATAGCCAGTGTCCATTAACTATACCAATCAGATCGCCTCTTTAAAATATGAACAGGGATGATTGATAAGAATTGGCTAGGTGGTAGGAAATGCTAGGTGAAAGGGTTCCATGGCTAGCACCAAGTAAGACCCCCAAACTCAGAGCTTCCCCAGACCAACCTTTGGTTTCCCTTCTGATTCTGGTAAAGCCTGCTCCCATTTCAATTCGAGGATGGCCATCACACTTCCTGTGTGACCTCTTGTGTATCACTGAGTGATCCCTATTTAGATATTGAGTCAGCGGACTCCTAACAACCAAAGAGACTAGAAGCACACAGGCCCCTTCTGGACGATGTGCTCCTGAAACCACGCATGAGGTTCCATGTTAACCCAGGACACTGAGCTGGTATATCTCCAGCCCTCATTCAGCTTTCACAGTGAAAGTTTCAGTTGTAAAATGAGTAACTAAGGGACTACCCTGGTGGTCAGGTGGTAAAGAATCTGCCTTCCAATGCTGGGGACGTGGGTTCGGTCCCTGGTCAAGGAACTAAGATCCCATGTGCCCGCTAAGCCCAAGCGCTGCAACTAGAGAGCCTGCACATTGCGACTACTCGGCCCATGCAGGCTGCAACCAGAGCCTGGGGGCGACACACGCACCGCAACACAGACCCAGCTGAGCATTTGTTCATTTGTCCATTCCCCATCCTGCTACCGAGGGCCAACTCTGTGCCAGGCTCAGGATCAAAGAGAAAGGCCACCCTGAGAGAGTTTGCTGAGGTCTCAGCTCCTAGTTCTGGCTCCTTGCTGGAGGGTGAGCCCATCAGTATGGGAGGAAAGCGCAGAAGGAAGTGCAGAAGCAGCAGCCAGCTGCCCCCAGTCTGGACCAACCCCTGGGGCCCATTGGGGACACCCTTGAAAGAATCAGCATCACTGGTTCCGATTTAAATCCCCAGCCCTGGCGATGCCACTTGCAAAAACCTTCCACCCGGTGCCCTCTTGAGAACCTCAGCACATCCCTGAGGGGCTGACAGAACGGGGCTCATTGTTATCCCACATGGCTGTTCAGAAACAAAGGCTTGGAGACCTTGCGCACCCGCCCGAAGCTGGTAAGCGGCAGAGCTGGAACCAACAGCCCAATCCACAGCCCTTGTCCCAGCTTCAGCCTTCAGAGTTTTCCGAGGATGGCCTGAGTACTTAAAATCTCATCAACTTGTTACCAGCACTAAAGTGTTTAATATGAAGCTGTCACCCCCTTGGCAGGCACCCTCATTAACTGGCAAGTTCATGGAAACCCATGGCTTTGAAATTGATGAACCTTTTAAGTTTTACCTTTTAAGTTAATAGGAGGACCAACATCTGTTTGTACTTACACATCTCTACAACAGAACTGGCGGTACCTAGCAGTTGCTATGGCTACCTGCAGCCACCAGCTTTGTTTGGGGGCTATAATTATCCCTGTGACAGCCTTCTAATAGCCGGGGCAGGGAAACTGGAAAGGCACAGAATAGGAAAGTCAGGCTGCCTCTGCGTGCTAAGTTTTCTGCAGCCTTACATGCTCATGTACACACACACAGAGGTGAGTTAGTCTGACACCCAGTGGGGCAGAACTAGATCCCACCAAGGAAGACCTGCCTCTTCCTCTTCTTCCCTTTCATATTACAGAATCCTTTGAATAGGAAAATCTGAAATTTGTAGAATCACCCTCAAATCTTCAAATTCTGGGCACTTGAGATCCTAGAGTTACAGTTCTAGAGGGCCAGAATCTTCAACTTTCACCACTCTGGAAATTTGGGTTCTATATTCCAGAGTCAGAAAGCTAAAGAGAAATCTAGAATCATAGGGGGACATAGGATCTTGAAACTTACAGAGGCCTAGATGGTATCAAAGTTCCCACTAAATCAGTGGTCCCCAACCTTCTTGGCACCAGGGACTGGTTTCGTGGAAGACAAATTTTCCATGGACCGGGGATGGGGGGATGGTTTGGGGATAATTCAAGCACATTACATTCATTGTGCAATTTATTTCTATTGTTATTACATCAGCTCCACCGCAGATCATTGGGCATTAGATCCCAGAGGTTGGGGAACCCCTGCACTAAATGCAGGAATTTTCCCTACAGATCATAATCTGCTTGAATACTTCTAGGAGCAGTGAACTCACTTTCTAAAAACCAAAGTATGCCTTCTTGTCAGACTCACTCCCTTGTCCTGGCTCTCTGATGCTCCTTGGGAACGTAGAGAACCAGCTGAGAAAAGTTTCAGGCTCACTTAAGATTTTTCTTGTCCAGACTGCACATCCCCAAGGCTTTTTAACTGAATACCCTCCACTGGCAAGGTAAGCCAGGAGCCTGTCTAGTCAAAAAAGGCCTTTCTCCACCTTGCTCCCCGTGACTCCCACCTCTCCTCACTTACATACTCAGAACTCTCTAGCAAGGGGCTTCCAGCTCCCCCTGCACAAGTTTGAGGATCAGGTGACTGTGCACCAAACTCTGTCTTTCAAAGGTGACCTGGGAATTCATGAGCCCTTGTGAAGCTAAAAACTCACATCCCGCCCCAGTGAATCTGGGGGAGGGAAGAGGTGTTACACCTTTAAGACTCCACCGTGGGGACCAAAGATGGCAAGAAAGAACATTTTGGATCTTCAGAGTTGTAGGTCCCCTCAACCTTGGCCACCCCCCCCTTCCTCCTCCACCTCCGCCTCCCGGAAGCCGCCCCTTTGGAGGCCAGCCCAGGCAGCGCCTCCCACCCACTCCCAGCTCAGCTTGCTCCTTCCTGGCAGAGTCTGCCTCCCGGACCAGTGCCAGACGAGACTCAGAACAGGGCTGGGGCCTGGAGCCTGGAGGATCTGCTGAGGTCATGCATGAGGTTGAGGACCCCCCCAAAGCTGAGGAACCCCCCCAGATCCCCAGAGGCCCGCCTTCCTCCCAGCCCCCAGCAGCCCTTGCACTGACCACGTCTCCCCTTCTGCCCAGCTGTCCTTCTGGAGCCTTCAGCCAAGCGGGCTGGGGGCGGGGAGAGGTGTCTTATAGCAGCTGGGGAGAGGCACAGGGAACTAAAAATATAGTTTATATGGCAAGGCTCCTCCCTCCTCTCCCTGGAGGCCCAGAGGGGCTTATTGGAGGAGGGCTGGCAGGGACACCAGAGCCCAATATCCCAGTGGACAGGTGTAGCCCAGGGACACCTGCCTTCCTCCTGCCTTCACCCTACACCCCCAGCCTCTGAGGCTTAGAGTCCCCCCCCAGCCCCTCCTCCTCCTGTCATCTGCAGGAGTCCCGCACCACCCCCCGTGCTGCCCCTCCCTCATCAGCCGCCCTCCCTCCGTCCTGGCAGGTCTCACAGAAGTGGCTCCCCCTCCAAGGATCCCCCCTCCCCATTCCCCCACCCCTTTCCCAGCAGGTATGCCCTCTTCCTCCCCACCTTGGGCTCCAACGTGGATACCGCCTTCTCGGCTCTCTCTGCTTTGGAACACAGCCGCCCATCTGCCCTGTGAGCTTCTTCACAGGTAGGGATGTAAAAGCCACAGACACACCGCCCTTAAGACCCCTCCCAGTAGCCCTTTCCAGAAGCAGAGTTGCTTTCCAGCATTTCAGGATAGACACTTTTATAAGCCCCACTCTTCACAAGGGGAGACTGAGGCACAGGGAGGTTAAGTTGCCCAAGGTCACAGGGCTAGGAAATGGGCCAAGCACGAAATTCAAAACTGAGCAGTCTGGTTTCAGAATTTGTGCTTCACAGATAGGAACTGGTCTAATCTGGGTTTCTTCCTCTGCTCCCTCTCACCTTTCTGCAAACTCCCTAGCAAAAAGGGCCAGATCGACAAACCCTCTGAATTGTTTCATTGAACTGAGTCCATCCAGGTTCCTGGAGGTGAAGGCAAAGACAGTGTGCTGGGAGGCTAACAATCAGGAGACCCTGCTGCCATCTAGTGGCGGCGAGGAGAAAAGCCTGCATCCCTGGCTCCGCCCCGCTCACTGCGTTCTTTTGTTTGTTTAGCCTGCCAGCCGGCAGGCGAACAAAATCTTTTTCCATCTTTACTTCCGTGGCACCCACCAAGATTGACTTTCCACGTTATTTAAATAGGCCATGGGCCTTGCTCTCAAGGACCTCAAAGTTGGGTGGAGGAAACATCCCAGTGGGATTAGAAATACAACAGAAATTTGAGCAAAGAGCTGCAGGCAAGTGAGAAGGTAGCTCCCCAGATCCACATGGAGAAGACCTGTTGGCAGAAGTGACAGCTGGACTGGATCTTAAGTATAAGGGAACTCCTGCAGGGTCTCCTAAGCAGAAGTAATAAACTGTATGCAAAAGCCCAAGGGGTTCAGGGGAAAGAGTTTCAAAGGAAAGAAGTGCTATGGGGGTGGGAGCTGTAAGACCCCTCCCTGCCAAGGTCCTCCTGCACCAAAACAGGAGGTTTTGAATGGGGGACTTAGAACTGACATTCCAGTTCCACAAACACTCGTGCTCACTGAGTGCCTGGTTCTGTGCTGCACCCAAGGAGACCAGGGTGAGCATCAATCCTCCTTGAGCTTTAGAGGGAATGGGAGGAATCTGTGTAAACAGATGATGACAGCACTGTGTGATGGGGCAGAAACAGAGGCAGGTCAACGTAGGAGCAAAGACTTTGGAATCAGACACCTGGATTCGAGGTTTGGCTCCATCAGGTACTGTGTTTGTGATCCGGGGACTGTTTCATCACTTTTCAGGGCTTTTGTTTTTGTATCTGTAAAATGGGGACTTTGAAAATAATTAGCTGTCTCAAATGTCATCATGAGGATTAAAAGAAGAGTGCATGTGTAGCATTCAGGGTAGTGCCTAGCACACAGTAAGTGCTCAATAATTGCTCCCTGTGAAGTAAGATGCAAAGGAATCATAAAGGAGGAAATTATTAATTCCATCAAGGAGCATGCAGCAGAGAAGGTGATGTCTAGGTAGGAATTTGAAGGATCAACAGGGGTTGGAGCAAAGTGAGGAAATAATATTCCAAGCACAAGGACTGAAATATTCAAGGACTTGGAAGTTGGTGAATAAGGACTAAGTTTTGGTTGTAGGTGGCGGGAAATCCAAAGGAACATGGCTTTAACAAGAGAATACTCATTTCTCTTTCATATAGAAGTCCAGAGGTAGTGGTCCAGGGTTGGTAGGGCACACAACATGTCAGGAACCCAGCCTCAGTCTACTTTAGTAGCTCTGTCATATTACACACATGGTCTCCACCTCCTGATCCAAGATGGCTGCTTGAGTCCAGTCATCATATCATCATTCCAACCAGCAGGAAGTCAAAAAAGGTGAAGACGCTTGTGTTCCCTACATTTAGGGACACTTCCCGGAAGTTGTGATCAATACTTCCTCTCCTTAAACATCACATGGTCACACTTCTCTGTAAGGGAGGCTGAGAAATGTAGTGTGCATTTCTATATGGCCATATCCCCAGAGAAAGACTGGAAAGTCTTTTACTTAGGAAAAAGGGGGAAATGTAAACTGGATGAAAACTAGACATTTCTGCCACAGGAGTTGTAAAGAACATGTAAAGATACAGGAAACTAAAAATATTTTGGTGTTTTTATGGTGGAAAAATTGATGGAGCAAGTAATGAAAAATGCAGCCTAAGAAATAAACAGAAGCTGAGGAAGGGTTTTGAGCACGAGAGGACCATAATCTGATTTCCTGCATTGGAAACACCACACTAGTTGCATGGGGATAATGTAAGGGGTGGGGGAGGTGGAGGCAGGAGACATTTCTTCCCAACATTTCATTCTGAAAGTTCTCATGAAGCTAAGTTCAAAATGCAAAAAAGAGTACGTCAAGGCTGTTTATTGACATCCTGCTTATTTAACTTATATGCAGAGTACATCATGAGAAATGCCGGGCTGGATGACTCACAAGCTGGAAGCAAGATTGCTGGGAGAAATATCAATGACCTCAAATATGCAGATGACATCACCCTTATGGCAGAAAGCGAAGAACTATAAGAGCCTCTTGATGAAAATGAAAGAGGAGGGTGAAAACAATGGCTTAAAATTCAACATTCAGAAAACCAAGATCATGGCATCTGGTCCCATCACTTCATGGCAAATAGATGGGGAAACAATGGGAAAAGTGAGAATTTTTTCCCCAAAATTAGTTTTAGGGGATCCAAAATCACTGCAGAAGGTGACTATAGCCATGAAATTAAAAGACGTTTGCTCCTTGGAAGAAAAGCTATAACCAACCTAGATAGCATATTGAAAAGCAGAGACATTACTTTGCCAACAAAGGTCCATCTAGTCAAAGCTATGGTTTTTCCAGTAGTCATGTATGGAAATGAGAGTTTGAACCGTGGTGTTCGACAGCCTCTTGAGAGTCCCTTGGACTGCACAGAGATCAAACCAGTCAATCGTAAAGGAAACCAACCCTGAATATTCACTGGAAAGACTGATGCTGAAGCTGAAACTCCAATACTTTGGCCACCTGATGCGAAGAACTGACTCATTTGAAAAGACCCTGATGCTGGAAATGATTGAAGGCAAGAGGAGAAGGCAGTGACAGAGGATGAAATGGTTGGATGGCATCACCAACTCAATGGACATGAATTTGAGTGAGTTCCAGGTGTTGGTGATGGACAAGGAAGACTGGTGTGCTGCAGTCCATGGGGTTGTAAAGAGTTGGTCACGACCTAGCAACTGAACAACAACAAGTTAAACAAATTTTAAAGTGACCATCTTACACCCACCACCAAAATTCTATCAACATTTTACTAAACCAGTTTTCTCAGGTATCAATACAACCCTCCATGCTTCCAATCTTATTTCCAAGGCCTTTCAAAGTAAACTGCAGGCAACTGTCCATCCACTTCTTCCTAAATACTTCAGCATGCACGTCATTAGTGAGAATTTTGTTTGTGTTTTTTTCTTTTGATGTAAAATTAACATCCAATGAAATCCACACAACTGAAGTGGACTCTTGCTGAGTTTCGATAAATTTATACACCTGTGTAATGAGAACCCCTGTCAGGATTATAGAACGTTATTATCATCACCCCCAAAAGTTCCCACAGGCCCTTTCCTGGTCAGTCCCCGCCCTGCCCCCAGGCAACCACTGTCCAGCTAATTTGGTTGTTATAAACTACAGATTGGTTTGCGGGGGGCGGTGGAGGGGGGGGAGGGAGTGAAAGTGAAAGTCGCTCAGTCGAGTCCGACTGTTTGTGACCCGGTGGACTGTATAGTCTATTTCTCCAGGCCAGAATACTGGAATGGAAAGCTGTTCCCTTCCCCAGGGGATCTTGCCAACCCAAGGGTGGAATCCAGGTCTCCCCGCATTGCAGGCGGATTCTTTACCAGCTGAGCCACAGGGGGCACCCTTTAAGGGCCACCTCTGGGTTGAGGGAGAGGCGAGGCGGAGGGGCGGAGGGGAAGAGGGGACTAGCTCCACAAGGGACGCTGAGGTGAGCTGAGAGCCCGGCACAGCGCCAGCAGCCCGAGCTGAGTTTCTGGCTGAATTAACCGCGCAGATGGTGGCGCTATTTACTAAGGCGGGCGGGGTACCGGGGAGGAAGGGATGGAGAGTGACTCTGCCTTGGTTCCGAAGCATTTGGGCATCTGTGAGACATCTGTCTAGCAGGCCTAAGGCGACACACGCGTCCCCGAGGCTTGCACTGGTCGAGATGGCATCGGAGAAGTGGCGGCCGGGCTTCTCCAGACTCTCCATCTTTCCCCGGCCCAGCCCTGGCACCCACCAGACTCCGGCCCCCCAGAAAAGGAAAAGGGGTCCCTCCTCCGCGGATCCGCAGGCCACAGCCCTGCTTTCCCAGAGGCAGCCGCGGGAGGGCGGTGGGGAAGGCACGGAGGCGGTGACTTCTGGTTGGGATCCAGACAGGAACCCTCACTCCCGACTCCGAAGGCGGGCGGAGGAGGCGGGGAAGGCAGGCCCCTGAGCCCACCTGGGCGGTGCTCCCCTTCCCTCCTCCCTCCCAAGCGTCTTGCTGTCGAATGCTTGTTCCTCTCTAGTGACTGCCGCCCACCTCTTTCCAAATTCCCCTTCCCTCCCCTTTAAAAACTACCAAAGCCCAGGTCTTAGCTACTCAGATCTCCAGGGAGGAGGCCGTTCGGTCTGCTTCTCCTGCGAGGACAGTGGAAGCAGAGAAACGAAGTGAAACACTGACCCTCACTCCCAGACCGCAGTCGGGTCCCCTAGCCTACCCAAAATCAAACACAAATCACCCCAGCAAAGTCATTTCTTTCTTAAAAACCCCCTTGGGCAACAGGAGATATTGCTCTTTCCCCTGACAAAGACTTGGACTTAACTCCTTGGGAGTTAAGGGATTCTGATTCTGCTAAGAGAGCCCCACACTCTCTGGGGCTGCAGCATAGAGCATCCTGAATTTACCTAGCCATTTGGAGAATCATCTCATCAGACACAGGACCAGAGGGTGAGCTGTTAGTGTACATGAAGTGGCAGGGATCACCCTAGGAGAGAATGTGAGGGAAGAAGAGAAGGACCCCAAGGAACACCCCAACATTTAAAAACTGGGAAGGGGAAGAGGAACTAGAGATGGAAACTTCCAAGGACGATGGGGACACTGGGAGATTATGGGGGGTGGGGAGTGACAGGGTCAGGATTGCATATAGAGGATGGATGGAAGAGAAGCCTTGTGAGACACGAGGATGAATATTAAGGACTCCTTATGCACTAGACGTGGGTGAGGGCTGAACCACAAATATGGAGGCATTCATGTATTACAGCACTAGCCACTATAACAAACGTCCCCCAGATCTCGGTGGCTTGTTAGATCTTCATAGTGGCTCCATGGGTTTGGTTCTCATTTACCTCACTATCCAGTGCAAGGACTCTGCTCCACACAGTGATTCAGAGACTCAGGCTCTGCCCCCAAGGACTTCAGAAACCTCAGATTCCTCCCTATCCAGCAGGCAAATAAATGGGTAAACAGTGAAAACAGTGACAGACTTTATTTTCTTAGACTCCAAAGTCACTGCAGATGGTGACTACAGCCATGAAATTAAAAGACACTTGCTCCTTAGAAGAAAAGCTATGACCAACCTAGACAGCATATTAAAAAGAAGAGACATTACTTTGCCAACAAAGGTCCATCTAGTCAAAGCTATGGTTTTTCTGGTAATCATGTGTGAATGTGAGCTTTGGACCATAAAGAAAGCTGAGTGCCAAAGTATTGATGCTTTCGAACTGTGGTGTTGGAGAAGACTCTTGAGAGTCCCTTGGACTGCAAGGAGATCCAACCAGTCCATCCTAAAGGAGATCAGCCCTGAATATTCATTGGAAGGACTGATGTTGAAACTGAAACTGCAATACTTTGGCCACCTGATGTGAAGAACTGACTCATTAGAAAAGACCCTGATGCTGGGAAAGATTGAAGGCAGAAGGAGAAGGGGACGACAGAGGATGAGATGGTTGAATGGCATCACCGACTCAATGGACACGAGTTTGAGCAAGCTCTGGGAGTTGATGATGGAAAGGGAAGCCTGATGTGCTATAGTCCATGGGGTCTCAAAGAGTCAGACACGACTGAGTGACCAAACTGAACTGAATAGATCCAGCAGGCAGACCACAGGAGTGTGTGTGAGAGGTTTTACAGGCCATGCCTGAAACTGAGGCTCACCATTTCCGGCCATATTCCATCAACCAGGTCACAGCCAAGCCATGGGAATGAAATTTTTGTGTCCGGGAGAAAGAGAGACTGGCTAGGTGGACACACAGCATTGTGTCTGCCAGTCATGGCGTGAGATGATAAAATGCTTTTATAATCTAGTGGGAAGATGAGGAAGAGGAGCTGGGAATGAAACATTCCTATAAATCATGTCTTAATAGTTCACAGAGTAGATATTTCTGATTTATTAGGGCTGTTTGGGTCATCCTCCTCCAGACGAATTTTATCACCCCTGATAAAATATTTGGGAAGTGGGAAGGGACTTCCCTGGCAATCCAGTGGTTAAGACTCGGCGCCTTCACTGCTGGGGCCCAGGTTCAAACCCTGGTTGAGGAACTAAGATCCCCCAAGCCACATGGCATGGCCAGAGAAGGGCTAGCACCCTTTCTGATGATGAAAAAGGCATTCTTAAAAAGGGGGCATCTGAATAAGGAGCTGAAAGATGGTCAGAGAGGGCTAGGGAAGCAGGAGTGCATATGGAATCTACAGGAAACCCCGAGAAGACCGGTTTAGGAGGGTCAGAAGTTTCGTGAAGGGGATTGGTCATGGATGAGGCTGGAATGTGGGCTTGGAGCGGCTCAGGAATGACTTTGAACTTGAAGAATTTTGGCAGCTCTTCAGCAGGCCCTGCGGTTGTGGCTTGGGGTGGGGTGAGGTGGGGGTGGGGTGGAGGAGGAGGTTCCCAGCCATCTCGGATGAATCAGCAGGGTCAGTTAAAATTAGTCATGATGGCCCAGCAGAGAGACGCCAAGGCCAACAGTCACGTTGGTTCATGTGGCAGCCGAAGTTTGCTTCTCTGGGGAGTCTTCTGGTTGGGGGAGCCCAGAGCCGGAGCAGGTGCTCTGGGCTGTCAGTGAACCCTCTGGACTGTTGGGGAGCACCTCTGGGTTTCTGACCTTGACTGCAGGAGAAGGGGGATGCAGTTTGGCCCGACTCCCTGGTTGTCCTCTCTCAGACCACCTTGACATGGAGTGGTCTTCTCTTCACCTTGCCAACCCCTTCTTCATGGAGCCTTCCGCACCAGTAAAACCAGGTTCTGGACTCTTTTGCTTGACCTAAGTAGTATTATTCACGATTGTAATTGTGAACTGGATAATGGTTAACATTTTTAAATAATGCACTATTTAGCCAGTCATCTCCAAGGGCGTGTCTCCCATCTCCTCTCTCTCATATATCCAGGTATCCTCTTAAAGTGGAGAAAGTGTGTGGTAGTTAGGGGTGCATGTGTGCGTGTAACCAGAGATACAAGCATGAGGAAAGATTGAGATCGCATTAACTGAATCATCTAAGTTGCCCCCAACACACACACACAGAGCAGTAAGGGGTGCTTACAGTCAAGTGGCAATGTGCTACAGGATCAAGGATATGGATTCTAGAGCCAGACTACTGATTTTGAATTCTGCCTTCATTGCTCGCTTGCTGTGTGACTTTAGGCAAGTTACTTAAACTCTCTGTGTCCCAGTTTCTTCATCTACTAAATGGCAATCATAACAGTGCCTGCCTCACAGGGTGAAATTTAGTCTAGGTAAAATACCTATAACTATGCCTGGCACAGAATTGAGTAAACACTCCATAACACATGTGGTCTATAACACCTATTAATAGTAATAAACCACTTTTTTATCAAACATCTGAGTTGAAATTAACAGACTCTTGACTGTGTTATATAATTGGTGAATTAAGGTCCCTCTCCCTGATAGACTCAGGGGTCCATGAGAACATGTTTTAAATTTCCATTGTCTGGTGCAAGGCCAAGTTCAAGCTGATAATAACAGCTGTACCACACCTCCCGCCCCCTAGTCCCACACTACAAGCATGCACTGCTGGCCTTCCAGGGCCCAGTGTGACTCCAAATCCTTTATATACAGAGGCCATTTAGCTCTCAGGACCACCCCAGAAGGTTCTTGATAAATATTTGTTGAATAAAGAAATGCCTGCCACCCAGGAATAGGTAGATCCTGAATGGGAAAATGCTTTGTAAACTGTAAAGCATGCAACTTGTGAGAATGGAAACACTTAGGACCTCTTCCCCAGGGGCCTAGGATCCATTCCACTTTTGACTTCATTGAGTGCCTTGGGAACATATCCTGTGTTATAGAACTTTCCCTCCACTTGACCCTCTATCGAAATGTAGTTATCTTGGGTATCATTTTCCCCTGTGACCTGTCTTAATGGTTACTAGTGGAATTCAACTCTTCCTACCTCCCCCCCAAGAGATTTTATTTCAACAAAGGCAAGCACCAGCTTGTCATCTAACCTCTAAGAAAAACTCCTTACTCCCCTCTGCCCCCACCTGTTCAAAGCCCACCCTTCTCAGCATCAAGGAAGGCCTCCTTGCAGAGCCCCAGCATTATATAGACACCTCCCTCCAGGCCCCCATCCTGTTCTTGCCAGCAGAATGCTAAGTGAAAGTGAAAGTCACTCAGTCATGTCCTATACAGTCAATGAAATTCTCCAGGCCAGAATACTAGAGTGGGTAGCCTTTCCCTTTTCCAGGGGATCTTCCCAACCCAGGGATTGAACCCAGTATCCCACATTGCGGGCGGATTCTTTACCAGCTGAGCCACCAGGGAAGCCCAAGAATACTGGAGTGGGGAGCCTATCCCTTCTCCAGGGGGTCTTCCCGACCGGGGAATCGAACCAGGGTCTCCTGCATTGCAGGTGGATTCTTTCCCCACTGAGCTATCGGGAAAGCCACAGAATGCTCAATATGCCCTTATTATATCTCCAAGGGAAGATTTTATCCATTTATTGATTCATTCACTCATTTGTGCAGTAATATTTGTGGCATCCCTCTTCCTTATCAGGTACTGTAGCACTTCAAGGATATAGAGAATTATCTTGGTTTCTGAAGAAGAGGGGAGTATCAGTTACAGGTAAGAAGATGAGCAAAGGCATAGCAGTGTCACAACTTAAAAAAAAATTTTTTTTTGTTAAAAAGTTTTAATTTTGGCTGCACTGGGCCTTTGTTGCGACCCGTGGGCTTTCTGAAGTTGCAGTGAGCAGGGGCTGCTCTCCAGTCGTGGTGCGCGGGCTTCTCATCGCAGTGGCTTCTCTCGCTGAGCACAGGCTCCAGGGCACTTGGGCTCGGTAGCTGTGCTGTTCGGGCTTAGTTGCTCTGAGTCCTGGACCAGGGATCACCAAGTACAGAGGATGGACTGAAAGGCAAAATCAAACAGAGATAAGAGAACCATGAGGTATAGTGAGGTGGTGCCCAGGGGAATTTTTCTGATCTACTGGATTCAACTATG